GAACATTGTTACATTGTTATATTATTATAACGAAATTAGAAAATCGACGATTTTTTTTTGTTAAATGTACGTTCATATAAAAAATGGAAAATCTAAAACTGTAACAATGTTCATACAAGAGAATAATATATATTACTTCCCTCCGAACAAAAAATAGACATAAATTATAAAATAAAAAATATGACTCTTTACGTATTGGGCCCAAATATTTTTCCATTAACATGTTTTAAATAGATTTCATATATCTTTGTTACAGTGTGATCCATTTATGACATGATATATTGTTTTAGTAAGAACTGCCTCGTTCTTCTTTATTTGTGGCATGTTTTTCCTAAAATTATTTGTTCAAAAGCACCAATAATTTTTTTTTCTAAAATAGTCGATGAGCGAAATAAGCCAATTTTCAGCTCATGTTGCTGTTTTTGTATTACTCAGCTGCCTTTAGATTTGACTTTAAAACAAAGTGATTGACTAGTACTTTATCTATCGTAAAATATCGATGCAAAAACTCAAATGCACGCAACAGTTGTACATAACCTTCTGAATCTTAGATGGGTTGTTCTTTTACACCCACTGTAAGCAAATTCGACACCAATTTTAGACACAGTATCATGATTGTATCTTTCTCAAATAATTCAACTAATATAGCCGTCTTAATACTTCTTATAGTGAACAGTGAGTTATTTGAACGAAATAATAAAGTTTTGCGTAAATTTAATTGTCTTCAAAAGTATATTATCTTATTCTATTACAATTAATTTAATTATGGATGAAGCCATCAAACGCTTCAACAAAGGGAGAATACAGAATGGGAAACCCAGAAGTCAAAATACTCTGTTACAAAGATTAGGATAGTCTTCAAAAATGTTTTCACAGATTTAACACAGAAGAAAAAGAAGTTATTATGAAGATCCCAACTCAGAAAATTAAAATATTAGAGTAGAATGGAGAAGAGTAAAGTAGAGTAGGGTAGAGTAAATTTTTATTTGCATAATTTTTTTAACATAATTGGGCAAATAACGTCACATTATTAATCACAGATTAAAAAAAAATATATATTAATATCACAGATTAAAATATATTATCATTATAAATTAAATATGCTGATCAGGGAGTAGAATAGGCCAGTTACTCCTCTATAGTATAGAGCTCAATATAAATAGATGTTGAAAAACCTTTCTTCTATTGTAAAATTTAACACACGCATATAAAGGACTTCTCTCTGTTGAAATTAAGCATTCTTCTAATATCTTCATGATTGGGAAGCAGGTGATAAAACAAAGTAAAAAATTTTAAAAAGGGCCATAATATATTCAAATATATAGATGACTGAGACAGTGAGTACTTATATTGAGTGATTTGAATCGGCCTCTACAGGATTCTCCCGCCTTTAGTCCTAAGATCACCCGAACTGCCCTTTTTTGTGAATATAAAGACAGTTGAGCTATCCACTGCAGCACCCCAGAAGATTACTCTATATCGCATAACAGAATAAAAGTTTACATAATATCCTGATAATAAACTCCCCTGATCTAGATAGTTATTCTACACTTTTAATGAGTAATAGGCTCTCTACTAATAGTAATTTAGTATTTTTTCTCGTATTTTGTGTTTGTTCCCCCCAATTCAGGTTCTGGTCAATATAAAGATCAAGAAATTTAACTGATCTAGGAGGTTCCGTGTTTTGTGATAGAAAATTGATTGTATCTGGGAACTGTTCTCGTTACTGGCTGGTTCTAAAGTAAACAAAAACTGTCTTATCAGTATTAAGCAACAACCGATTTCCATTGAACCACTGTTCAGCCTTGCTTAGAGTTTGCTCTGTCACTGTGAGGAGTGTTTCTAATGATTTTTCCTAGAAAAGCGCATTTTAGTCATCATTGAAATTTACAAAGTTTGAGAAACTACTAACCACCGCATTTGGAAGGTGGTTATGTAGACCAAAAAGAGAAAAGACCCCAAAACGCTCCCCTGTGGTATGGTTCAGTCAATTGTCAAGCCATTTTGGTTTTATTTTCGCTATTTTCAATTCCTTCTTTATAACAATTTGTTCGAGATTGAGTGAGTAGAGAATTGTTTTTTGCGTTTTTTCTGTCCTGTCATTTAAAATCAACATTATGACTAGACAGTGTAAACAAAACATAAAGCCTAGATGTACAATGTTTGATATCATCATTTTTAAAGTACTTTTGTATTTTTTTATTTGCTGTATTTATCTCTTTGACAGGAAAACATTGTATAAAAACTATCTTCATTCCATAAAAGCATCTTTATGATTATTTAACCTTAATGTCTCAAAAACAGATACCCAGTCTACATTACCTATACCTAACATGTATTTTAAAAAATCTTCATTCTCCTTAGTAAATATTCGTCTTTTTCAAATTTTACCTTTTGAGCAGTTTGATCAATATGAGGTTTGAATACAACAGAATCAAATATGTCGAGATTTATAAAAAATATTATTTATACAAAATTTTTTGTTATCTTGTAAACGTGTATAGTCTTTGTTGAAAGACTTAATATCAAAGGAGCTCAAAAACATTTGTCTAATGTGTCTGACCATCTCGTACCTCCAAGCAGCATATGTAAGTTAAAATCACCAGCCAGAAAAATGATGGAATCCTTGTCAACTAAATCACAAATTATTTGGTCTAATTTGTTTATAGTGAGTTTATTAATAGTGAGAACAATAGAGATCCAACGTGGATCATTATCATTATCATCATCATCACCCAGCCTTCTACGTCCAAAGTTGAATGTAGGCCTCCCCTAATTTCTTACAGTTTTGCCAGTCTTGAGCTTCGAGCAGCCAATTCCTATGCTATGCACCCTATGGCGCTTCTCCTTCTTCTTATTTCTTAGTTTATAACCCTGTCTCTGAGAGTCAGTCCAAGTAGTGAGCGTTCCATTCGTCTTTGGGTAGCCTGTGTTTGGTCGCTGTAGCCTGGGTTAAAGTTTTTTGGCGCCCTAAGTCATACCTGGAAACATACATTGGTCGAATCAATTCTTTTTCAAATAATTTGGCATGTTGCTCTTGAAGATGCCTAATAAAGCTCCATATGCGGCTTATGCTAAAGTGATTATTCTTTGCAGTTCAGCAGTTTGGTTATCCCTAGCAATTTGTGATTTTTGTTGGAGTACAAATGAAAACTGTTACTTCGGCTACCAGAAAGCATTTAAGTAGAGTATAACAGAAAAACTAATATATATTTTAAGACTAATATATATTTTAAGAAGAACTCATTATGACCAAACAGCAAAAACTAGGTCAGACAACCAGCCGAACGAAGACGTTGTGATAAAGAGAGGTATCAGACTGGGGTGCGTCTTATGTTTGTAATATCTACTCAGAAGAGGTATTTAAATCAGCTCTGGAAGACATCTGCGAGGGCGTACTGATAAGTGGAATAATTTCAGATAGACGACACAATAATAGACGCAGATAAAATACAGGGATTGACGGAAGAGACTTAAAAATAATGGCTAGCCTGTATTGGAATCAATCAGCGGTGCTCCGAATACATGGAAAATATACAGATCAGATCAAAATCTTAAGGGGAGTGAGACGGGGGTGCATAATTTCACCGCCGATATTTAATCTGTACATGAGGCACATTTTTGAAGAGGCTCTAAAAGATATTGATGAAGGTATCTCAATAAATGGAGTCAAGCTCAATAATCTGCGGTATGCAGATGATACAATAGTGTTTTCCAATACCAGAGAAGGGCTGCAAAACTTAATGAACAAAACAACGGAAACAAGTAGAAAATATGTACTGGATGTAAACACCAGTAAAACCAAGCTAATGATGATCAGCAAGGAAAAGATAACTGAAGCATCACCGTATGTGAACCAAAAGAGAATTGAACGTGTCTTACAGTTCAACTACTTGGGAACTATAATCAATAAGTCGTGGGACAATACCCAAGAAATTAAATGTGGCATCGGAAAGGCAAAAAGTGCATTCTTCACTATGAGCTCTGTGTTCAGGAGCCATGACCTCACCCTAGAAACAAAAATAAGGCTCCCCTAATGCCTTACGTATACTCAGTGCTTCTGTACGGAGTAGAAACGTGGACATTGAAGGCAGAAATTCTATTAAAACTTCAGGCTTTTGAGCTATGGTTATACACAGGAATCCTGAAAATACCATGGACAGAAAAAGTCACCAATGAAGAAGTACTGCGGAGTATCAACACAACCGCGGATTTGGTCAGCATCGTGAAGGGCCGTAAACTGCAGTACTTGGGACATATAAGGAGAAATCAAGGCAGATACGAGCTACTCCAATGCATTTTTTAAGGTAAATTGAAAGAAAAAGGGCTCAGGACAAAGAAGAATATCCTGGCTTACTAACTTTGAACGTAGTAGAGAAAGATCTCAACACAGCTATTCCGTATAGCAACCAACAAAGTCATCAGAGCCAGAATTATCGCCAACGTTCGAAACCGAGAGGCACCCTAAAAGAAGATTGGAGAGACAATGTCTTGTTATCTCACTGAACACTTTATATTATGTCTTACAAGGCAGGAGCTATAAGTTATACAGAGTATTGTGTAAATTGAGTAAAATTCCAAAAAAATTTTAGAAACAAAGAATTGCTTCTGACAGAGTACTATTGGAGGTGTTACTTCTAATGAATGAAACTATGCATTTTACAGAAAGTTAAGAGAAAATGGGCGAAACAAAGTATTGCTTGCCACAGAGAACTATTCTACGTGTTGCTTCTTTAAGTAACTTCTTTTCACTAGTGGTTCACATTTCGCAGTGACGTCAAAAAGCCCGGTAAAAGCACATTTTGTCCATATAGGTTCAGCTCCACAATCTAGCTTAAAAATTACAAAATGTACAAAAGTTTTCCTTTAAAAAAATGGAACTTCACGAAATATTTTCAATTATTTCGTATGTTTAAATTCAAATTTAAATAAGATATAATAATAATTAGACAGAGGGACCAAATAAAAAACAAAAATGCTTTTTCCCCTATTTTTCTTACCTGCTCTATCATCTAATTCTGATAGTTTCTGATCTCTTTCCAATACTTTTTCTACATTCGTTTTCATGATATCCACGACTTCATCGACTTGCGCCTGTGTTTGTTGAAGTCGTCGTTGGGCGGCGATTTGTTGTGGCGTTCGCGGACCGCCCACAATGCCATCGTCGCCGCCGCTACCCGCCGCCCCCGCACCGGGGGCCAGTGTATCCCCTGCTGACCTGTAACAAGAAAAAAATATGTATATGCTGTTGGAATTTTATGCCCAAACTTGAGTACTTGTTATCATCATTTTTGTTTTAATTAGAACGAGTTACTGAAAAATAAAAATATTTCGAGTAAGCTTTGGAATGGGCCTTCGTTCTTTTGGACGGTTAGTCACCCACACAAGTAATTCATAATTCATAATAAATGTTATATTAATAAACACTGCTTAACGTAATCAGAGCAGAGCTAATCTTGTAATAGACAATACAACGATTGAGCGTGTGCCCTGTTATAAATATCTAGGTGCTTGGATCACAGACGATACTGATCAAACAAAAGAGATTAGATGTAGAATAGAAATCGCTAGATCAGTCTTTAATAGAATGCGCAAACTCTTTTGCAATCGTGATATCAATATAAAGTTACGAATACGAATGCTGCGGTGTTATGTTTTTTCTACCCTGTTATATGGAGTTGAGGCTTGGACACTAAAACAGTTGACCATAAAAAACTTTGAAGCTTTCGAGATGTGGTGCTATAGGCGCATTCTCAGAATATCATGGATGGACCGCGTCACTAACACGCAAGTACTCCAAACTTTAGACAAAAGATGCGAAATTCTAAATGAGATAAAAACTAGAAAAATGGAATACTTGGGGCACATTGTGAGAGGTGAAAAGTACGAACTTTTAAGAAACATCATGCAGGGCAAAATTAAGGGCAAAAGAAGTGTGGGAAGAAGAAAAATATCGTGGCTTCGTAATCTACGTGAATGGTTCGGGTGTAGTTCGATTGAACTTTTAGGCGCGCTGCTAACAAAGTCGCAGTGGCCATGATGATTTCCAATCTCCGCTAGGAGTGGCACGAGAAGAAGAAGAAGTTTAACGTAACAATTATATACCATTATCTGATTTCTTTAAAACATAAATGTTACAACAGTTGTCATATCTCTTTACATCGTGTTAAAATCTCAAAGAAGAAGTCTAAACAGAACATTTCTAAGAATGAATTTGAGTAAAAAGTTTACCCGAACAATGTTTCAGAAGCTTGGTAATTCTCTTAGTAAATTACGAATTTACTAACACTTTAATAAAATGGACAAGAGTTCTGCAAGCAAGCAATAGTTCCATAACGTGATTAAATCGTAGCAGAGTGGTTTATGAATAACAACTATTTCTTTTAAATGATCGGAGATATTAATCGACAGACACACTGTTTTCTCTTCTTGAAATTTACAACCAAGCATTAGACAAACAGTTTTGGTATAACCACTTGGTGCTCAATGTTATGTTATGGATTATTGGGTAATTTAGTCGTGCAAAGGATCTATAGCTTTAAATCGAATGCCAAAAATATCCAATTCAATACTCAATCGTTTCAACAGGCTTGCTAAATCACGAGAACAAGCTCAGAACTGCTTCAAAATAATTTTAGAGATATAATTTCCTCTCAAGAAACTAATACAAACCTAATCATATGCTATGTATCAGATGAAGACGCAACAAAAATCGAAAAGAATGCTGAAATGAGTGCTGGGATAAATTTTAAGAAGTGATAAATGATTGTACAGAGAAAATTGTGATCACAGGAGACATAAACAGTAGAGTAGGGAAAAAAGCAGAAAAATGGAACAATGTCATCGGCTTTATGGGGAAGAAAAAATAAACAAGAATGGAAAATTACTACTGGAATTCTATCTAGACAACAAGCTAGTGATTATGAACACACACATCCAACATAAAAAGATAAACAAGATCACAAGAGAAGTCAAATCAAGAGACAAACAATCAATTATAGACTATATTATAATGCAAAAAACAGAGAAGAACTGGATAAGAGACGTAAGAGTAAAAAGGAGTTATGAAATTGGTAGTAACCACTATCTACCACATTCAAAAGCAAAAGAAAAGAAATGAAAAGAAATGAGAACATAAACAGAAAACACAAAGAAATAATAAAAATTTATAAACTAAGGGAAGAAAGAAGGGCTAGAGAAAGAGATGGACAACGAACATGAAATAACAGAAGAAACAGAAACAACAGAAGCAACAACATGATGAAATGAAAAAAGAAATAAAAGAAAAGAAGAAATTAGGGAAAGAATACATACAACAAAACAGACAAAACACAACAAAAATATGAAAATTATAAGAGACAAAGAACAAAAGTTAAAGAGATAGTTAAGAGAAAGAAAAGTTGGGAAAAATTTGGAGAAAAAATGGAAGAAAACAGCACAGAAAACGTAAAATTATTTTATAGAACACTGAAAAACCTAAGAACACGAAACTAAATCAAATAATGAACAAGGAAGGAACAATAATAAACGACGATAAAACAATAATGGAAAGGTGGAGCAAACATTTCCAGCTGATACTGAATGGAAATCAAGCGAATACAATGAAGAAGGAAAGCCACATCAAGGGAGTATCTATGAGAAACACGGAAAATCCAGAAACTATAGAAAAAGAAGAACTGGAAGAAGCAATAAGAAAGATAAACATTGGAAAAGCACCAGGAAGCGATGAAGTAGCAGCAGAAATGATATAGGAGTAAAAACAAAAGAAAAATTGTTATACATATATAACCTAATATGGAAGAGAAACGTAATACACAGAGAATGGACAGATGTAGTAATTATACCTATATACAATAAAGAAAACACAAGAGACTGTAAGAACTATAGAGGCGTATCACTACTATGTGTAGCAGCAAAAGTATACGAAACCATAATAGAAAGGAAAATCAAAAAAAAATACAACATAAATTAAAGGACCATATATGCACCATGCAACGAGTAATAGAAAAAGCTTTAAAGAAAAATAGAGAAATATATCTGAGCTTTATAGACATGGAAAAATCATTCGACTCAGTCAAAAGAAAAGATATATGGGAAAGCCTAAAGAAGAAGCAAATAAGTGAGGAGTATATACATAAAACCAATAAATACAGTTCAAATGTTAAATATGCAGTCAAAACCATTTGAAACAACTCAAGGAGTTAGACAATGGGAAGTCTCAGCCCAGTGCTATTAATAAATGTAATAGATGAAATAGTAAGTGAAAGAATGTAAGAAAACATTTAAGAGATACTGCATCGTATGGAACAGAATGCAAATGATAAACGCTGAGATGTGTATATTTGCAGACGACATAGTATTAATTGCGGAAACAGCAGAAAAACTGAAATACAACTTAAAGAAATGGAACCTAGAACCAAGCAAATGCAACTTAAACTTTATTATAATCTCCGGAAAATTACTTATTTGTGACTTAAGCTTGTCTACATTTTACCTCCTCATAGATTATTATGAATTAGATTTTTCTTAATACTAATATATTAAGAAATAAGCATTTTTTTAAATACCATTCTCATTTTTCACTATTATACAAATAATTTTGTATCTTCTTCATTCTGTTAATGAATAAATAAACGCTGACTTCGTCTCTTTGTTTCTATTTCTGTACGTGTCACATAATATATTTAGGACTAGCCCTCGGCCCTCTACATGACTCGATAATTTATTCCGAGAATCTGAAGGGTGTTCAGGTGTCGGTGACGTGGGGAACATCACGTACTGAATGTATGAATGTGGGTAATGGTTGATCGTTGAACCCATCGATCCGATTTGTCGGTTTTGTAGGTTTATATACGTTTCTGAAAACACTGAATATTATTTTTGTACAAGAATAGAAAAGTTGTTACATTCGATTTTCTGCTGCACTTTGCTTCGAGATTGTTTGTTTTACAACATCACCTACTTGTTAGCGGTTCTTCCTAATGGCGTTTACGGTGATTTTGTAATAGTTTTTTGCATTTGTTGTTTCAATAGTCTATAAATTGTTGTATGTTCAATTCCGGTCATGAATTACAAATTATATTAAATTATTCTTAAGCCGTTTTGTTAATCTAAGATATTATTCATTTCACAGACGTATGAAAAAGAATGGTCATGGTAGTTCTCAAGAATTATTAAGCGGTGATGGACAAGTCATAATGACCATATGGTATGAAAATAAAGCTATTGTGATAGCTTCAAACTTTGTAAGCATTAGAAATAATGATTCAGTAAAAGCTGGGATAGAATTTATAAAAAATATATAGAAATTTTAATACCACATGTAATTCGGCTCTACAACACACACATGGGAAATTTGACTTTCTGATTCTTCTTCTTCTTCAAATTCCACTCCTATCGGAGATTGGAAATCATTCTGGCAATTATAATTTTAATGGTTACTCGCCTAAGTAGTTCAATTGAACTGCATCCAAACCATTCACGGAGATTGCGTAGCCACGAGATTTTACGTCTTCCTACGCTTCTTCTACCTTTGATTTTACCGTGCATTCCTTAGTAGTTCGTACTTTTCACCTCTCATGATGTGCCCCAAGTATTTCAATTTCCTGATTTTTATGGAATTTAAAACTTCGCATTGTTTTCCTAGTTGTTGGAGAACTTGTTCGTTTGTTTTGCGATCCATCCATGATATTTTCAAAATGCGTCGGTAACACCACATTTCGAATGCTTCTAGGTTTTTAATGTTGGATTTTTTAACTGTCCAAGCTTCAACTCCGTACAAAAGAGTAGAGAAAATATAACATCGAAGCATTCTTATCCGGAGCGATATATTGATATCGCGATTACAAAAAAGTTTTCTCATTCTATTAAAAGTTGACCGCGCAATTTCAATGCGGCATCTTATTTCTTTTGTCTGATCAGTATCTTTTGTGATCCATGCTCCAAGGTATTTGTACGAAGATATTTGTTCAATTTCTGTATTATCTAGTACTAGCTTAATTTTGATGTTTTGTGCTTTTGTAAATACCATGAACTTGGTTTTCTTCAAATTGATTTTTAGTCCATAATCGTTGCAATATATATTTAGTTGTTCAGCAAGGTGTTGCAGTTCTTCTAGTGTTCCTGCCAGAAGGACGGTGTCGTCAGCATATTTTATGTTATTAAGTGGCTCACCGTTTATTATAAGGCCCTCACTGATCTCGGCAAGCGCTAATTCTG